GTTACTGCTACTTTACAAATGGCTCCAGTGTAGCAATGCAGTGTTGTCCATTTGGACTACACAGAGAGACCTTGTCTCAAAACAACAACAGTGACTACAACAACAAACCTGCCTCAGTTTTATTCAAATAAAATAGTTGCCCCCAGAATTATGTTAAGGACCAAAGAATTCCATATTGTGGGTGACTGGACCTCAAAATGAGCCGACTTTGCAAGGCTGGCTCTTAGGATCTTGCTGCACAAAGTGTGGTCCTAAGTCCAGCAACTTCAACATTTCCTAAAATACTGTCAGACATGTGCATCAGCCCTGACCCAGGCCTACAGCTTGGAGCCTGCAGCTTCAGTAGGTCCCCAGATGGTAGAGCTGAGCAAACTTTCTTTTACTTTTCATAGTGCTGGAAAATGAGGCTGTCACAAGCTAGGCAAATGCTCTGCCAGCCCCCAAACATTTGTTTAAAGTCATGCTGTCAACTCTAGCTTACTCATTAGAGTCTCCTGCAGAGACTGAACAGTTCTGATGGATGCTCAAGTGCAGTTCCCTAAAGGCTGTGACTCAGAGTGGTTGGGTGTGGGGTGGGGATGCTGGATTTGTTTAGAACTTCTCTAGTGGTTTCCAAAACTTCCTTCTAATAAGGCAGAACTACTCAAACTTTTTCTAAATCTGAGGCCCTTGATACTATATTTCTTAAGTATTATATATTTCGAATAACCAATGAACGAACCTGTCTGGGGATGTAACTGGGTGGGAAAGAGCTTGCCTATCATGTGTGAGCCTCTAGGTTTAATTCCTCAGCACTACAAAAATATCTAAAACCCAACGGAAGGGATGTATTTGTCTCATTCTTTTTCTGGGGAGCTGTGCTCATCACCTCAGCAGGTCAAGAATAACTAGCTGTCTCAGGATAAGAAGGGAACCAAAGCATAGCTAAGCAACTGTCTCATCACTGTGCCATGGTGTGGACAGTCTTCCTCCCAGTAGTGCTCTCAGCCCCCTAAGTGGGTTGCTCAGCAGTACCTTAAAAAGGTACTGTTATGCTGGGTGTCAGTGGCTGACACCTTTAATCCAAGCACTTAGGAGGCAGAGGCAGGCGGATCTCTGTGACTTTGAGGCCAGCCTGGTTACTATGGTCTATGCTGAAGTCATTAGGATGACTAGGCCTGCCCTGACCCCAAACCTGGGCAGGTTTCAGGCTACAGTGGATGCAGCTTTTGAGGCTAATCTCCCCCCTGGCTGTGAGTCATTTCCTTAAGGAACAAACAGACAGCCACCTGGAGAGAAACCACTGGGCAAGTGCTGTCTGACCTGAAATCCAAGATGCTGCTGAATTCAAGCCCTGGTTTCCATGTGTTTGTAAGAAAGTAGCATCCAGTGCCCAGTGAGTCCCCAGGGTAACAGGCCCAAATGCTGGCTGCCTTTTCACTCCTTGGTTTTCTCAGCTGTTTTGAGACCAGGCTGGCCTTGAACCTGCAAGTCTGCCTCAAGTGCTGGGGTGACAGGTGTGTAGCACCACACTTGTCATGCTTTCTGGTATCTCAGGATGACGATTGGGAGACTGCTGCTGTTTTAGATTGCCTCTTGCCCTGGCAACTAGAGACCACAGTAAAAGTTCATCTCTTCCTTTTAGTCAGCAGCTAGATGAAAAGCAGACTTTATACAGAGCCTCCCATGGGTCACATGGTACCTGCCTCCAGATCCATGGGCCACACTGTACCTGCTTTGACTCTACTTAGTCTGTAATTTATTGCTTCAAGGCATGAGTTCCCTTAGCTGTAAGGTAGCCAGAACATCAGCTTGGTGGCCAGCAGCAGTGATGTAATGGTTTACTCCTGTTTGCTTTAAATGTAATTATCTTGCTTCTGTTTCCTTTCCTATTCCTCTCGTCTCCCACTCTATTCTTCTTTTCCATCTTTCTTCTCTCATCTCACCTACCTTTCCATCCTCTTATTCTCATTCCTTTTCCTTTCCCCCTCTTGTCTGTCTGCCTTCCTTCTCCCCTGCTTCCCCTCCCTCCTCCTTTTCTTCTTTCTCTTTTTCTTGATTTCTTCTCCTCCTCCTCTTCTTCTCTCTCCTTCCGTCTCTTCCACCTCTTCCTTCTCCTCTTTTTGAGAAATAGGATTACACTTGCAGCCCAGAACTTTTCATGATGTCTGAAATGCCTAGTGGTCCTCCTGTCTCAGCCTCCCTAGCATGGAGCACCCTTACCAGTGGAGCCACCAGTCCTGCGTTTCTGTGTTCTTTAAGTCAGTAAGCTTGGGAAGTTATATTTGAGAACAACTCTCTCCAGCGTCTGAAGACAGATGTTCTTGCTCATATGTAGATGTGTGTGCTATATACACAGGCCTGATGTCCTCAGAGGTCAGAAGAGGGTGTTGGATCCCCTGGAACTGGAATTACAAGTGTTTATGAGCCACTGTGTGGGTGCTGGGAACTGAGCCAGATCCTCTGGAAGAGCAACAAGCGTTCTTAACCTCTGAGCCATCACTCCAGCCCTTCCCCACTCCCATGTTTTTATCTTTTTATAATCTCTTTAAAGCTTGGCTCAGTGGATGACATTTTGCTGTCTGCCTCAGAGATCAGTGGCTATCACATGACAAGTAGCCCCTGGGAAACACAGCTGTACACTCAGGAAAGGTCAAAGGGAGATTTTCCTAATGTTCCCACTTAGTCTTGACCTCACAGGTGTCTTTGAGAATGACCTTACCTCTGTCCTCTGACTATAACTCACTTAACTACTTATCCTACAGAAAGCTCCAGCTGTCTTCTCCCAGGGCTAATTCTCCCGAGCACGAGCACGCTTGGTCTAGTAACTTTGGAAGGTTCAACTTAAGGCGCTGATGATACTGGTGGCTACAGTTGGAGACAGCCCTTCCCCTTGTTTATTGAGGGCTTCACACACGTGTGTGATGTGCCCCATCACAGGGCTCTTTCTGAAGTAGGTAAAGCTGTGTGGAGAAGGCCCAGGCCTCAGAATGGGAACAGCTGGCTCACAGACCATGCTTAAAGCTGTCTTTCCACTGGCTTCTGAAACTCAGGGCTTCCTCAAAGACATGCTGCTTCTCTAATTTCTTCAAATGAAACATACATAAAATATTCCAGCTACATATTCAGCAGCCAAATGGATGGTTCATTTCCTCAAAACATGGTATTTTTGACTTTGTGGTGGAAAACGCAAACATTTTATGTTGATAAAATTCAAGTGTGTTATTTGAGCCTAAGTGTATTTTGAAAAGTTATAATACAGTTTGAGGTTACCTTCTGGTTAGAGGCAGGGTCCTGAGGCTGGGAGTTCCTGAGCTGAGACCACTACCTGGTCTATTTTCTGCATGTATGCCCTTAGAAAATTCATGTTGACAAGTCTTTGTGCTAACAGAACACTTGTTTAAGTGCAATAATATTTTTTAAAAATCGACTATGAGTCCAGAAACACGACTGAAACTTCCTATTGATTTTTCCAGTTCTGAAGGTTAAGCATCATTCTGATTTCATCTCCATGGATGCTACTCGGTGCAGGATGGTCGCTCACACGCAGAAGAGGAGTGCGGAACCGAACATGTTTTCAATGTTAGAATCACCAATTTCCCCAAAAGAGGATTAAAACACAGGAAGATTACCATCCAGTGAAAGCCTTTGCTGAATTCTCCTCTCCACTCTCCTCTTATTCCTCTAGGTCCCTTCTCCATGCCCAGGGAAGCTGATGTATGAGGGATAGCACCTGATGCTCTTGGCATCTGGCATCTGTGGTTGAGCTCAGGTGCAGTCTTTTCTCATATGTGTAATTTAGGGGAAAGGATGTGACTGTAAAAGGCATGAGTGGGGGTGGGGTGGCTGTGGAGCAGTCAGAGGGTGAGGGAGGGAATGGGGTAAGGGAGGTAGTGGATGTTAATATGATCAAGGTACCCTATATACAGGTATGGAAATGGTGTCATGGTAATTGGGTCACACACGCGCGCGCGCGCGCACACACACACACACACACAGCACAAATGGGAAGCACTAGCAAGGAGGGGAGGGTCATATAGAGGGGATTAGTACATTACTGCCTGTGCCCTGTCTCTGGACGGTAAAGGCTTTCCCTAACCTATAGCCTCTGGGGAGCTTCCCCAGCCCCTACTAACCCTCATTCCATCTGAATAAAGCACTTATTGTGCTCTCCCTCCAAGGCCCACAACAATAATCTATTCCAGATAGATACCAAGCACATTTTCATGTTTATTAATATGTTATATAATATTTTTAAAAAAGAGTGAACATGAAACAGTGACATCAAAGTTGACAAGTACAATAATAATAGTTATATTAAGTCACAGACAGAACACACAACAGTGAGCTGATGATTTACATAAATCAATACAGCAAATGAGTTAACACTATAATTACAGGACTTTCATGGAAGCTATTCTACAATATTTGGAAATACTTTGTTCTTTTAAATAAACATTTACCCTTTCTACTCTCTTATATTTGCTTAAAACGCCAACATAGTTCTTAAATCAGGAAAAGTATATATTTCAAATTAATTTTCAAGTTACTTTGTCAAAGCCATGAAGATTTTCATATGTTTATTAGTCACCGTGGCATTAAAAATGCTTTTAAAATAATTTAATTAACTGATAGGGAAAATACAGGATAATTTTCCTACATTTCAATCTCAATTTCATTTTCTTCCACTTTTTTTTTTTTTTTTTAACCAGACTGACCTATGTATTTCTTAAAACTGGATTCAGGTAACTTTTTGTGTTTTCTTGCTTTCTAAAAATGTGGGTTTTTTTTTTGTTGTTGTTGTTGTTGTTTTGTTTTGATGTCATTATTGTTTTAAGCCAAGGTCTCACTATATAGCCCTAGATGACCTAGAAGTCATCATGTAGACCAGGCTGACCTGAATGCACAGAGATCTGCCTACCTCTGCCTCCCAAGTGCTGGGCTTAAAGGCATGTGCCACAATGCCTGTCTGATTTGGGCAATTTTTAATAAAACATTTGTAAATAAATAGTGTCTAATTATTGTAGACTTAAGGGTTTGTTTCTTAAAAATATACATCTTAAACTGTGTTTTTATCCTAACCTACAGCTACTGATGCAGAAACTCAGATCTCCAAAGCTGTTTAGCTGTTAGGCCTTGCTTATGTGAAATATGCTTGGCGATGTGTGGCTGAACACACTTCTATGTACAATGGTGTATTTGCAGTGTATACATCACATTGGCCATGTCAGCTATCTGCTTTGCTAGAGTAAAGGCAAGACTCAGTTAATCTCCTGCAGTGGGTCAGTCTGCAGGCCCAGTATCCACCAGAGTGCCCAGGGCACATGGGTGTGTCTGTGCAAGAGCCAGCCTTGCAGGACAGCTACTGGATATAAACACACCTTTCTCTGCTCCTCAGATGTGCAGACGACTTTTGTGGCTATTCCCTCCCTGGATGTCATATCCTATCTTGCCAGCTTCAATCCAGATACAGTCAACTCATAGCTAATGGGAAGCCTTGGAGGAAGGAGTGGGCCTGGTGGTCCCCATCACCACTCTCTGGGAGGCACAGCTGGTTAAGTATGCATCTGCTGTCAGAGGCCCCCTTGGCTGCTTTGTAAGGTTTCTTATGATCCTGGTGAGTTTTATGCTCAGTCTTGGTCCATGTATTCAGTATGTAAATTGCAAAAATGATACCCCATATCAAAATAGGCTTTCCAACGGCTTTGGTAATTCAAGATGAAAAGCACTAGATCTTCCCCTATACAGATAATACTGTTTCACCCTTCTATTCTTTAAACATTACCATCAAATAACTGAAAAAAATACATATGGGCAAAAGCTGTGTGAAGTCTAAACTATGGACTCCTTCCCTATCATTAGATACCTTCAGCTGTTCAGTGTTAACAGACTTTGTTTATTATAACTCAGAGAATCCAATTATTTCCATAGTAATTGCTAGGGAATAAACAAGAAAGTGTCAAAGCATTGATTTCATACTGCATTGCAAATATGTGTGCGCACACCACCTATATAATTAAGTCACCTAGATATACAAGAAGTGACGGTTGCTATCGCAGCACTGGCAACATTGGAAATCTCTCTCTGGTTCCCATTACCTTTCTGATAATTATGCTTGATAGCACTTATAAGAAGTAGACATGCAAGTCAGTCATGGCTTGTGAAGTAAATATAGTTCTTGCCAGGATCCCGGGCTGTCCACTTTTCCAACCTTTTCTATGTGACCTTCTAGCAATCCTCCCCTAAGCTAATAGCTTTTTGTATATGCTGTTATTCAGGTGACTAGAGCAGGTATCCATTTTACTCGGCATCAGCTGGCCGGTGCTGTTGTAACTGTTGGGGTCGGAGCTTTCTTTGCAGCACAAGATGCCGTAGAGGTGCCTCTGGCACTCGGAGGAGGCGTAGTAGTAAATCAAGGGATCGATGCAGCAGCTCACGCTGCTCACACAGACGCAGAGGAGGTAAGCGAAGTAGGCCTTCTCTGTGGCAGGGCTGTCAGACAGGAGCAGGTAGTGCATGATCAGGAGGACGTTGGTGGGTCCAAAGCAGACGATGAAGACGCAGAACACAGCAGCGGACAGGAACAAAGCCCGGGACTTCTTGCTGCGGTTGGCAACTGAGGAGGAGCTGAGACACCGAATGATGGACATGTAGCATATCGTGGAAATGATCAATGGCACAAGAAAGAAGACAGCGGAGAAGGCCGAGAAGTAGTAGGAGTAAAAGCCCTGCAGCAGGGTCTCATTGAGGACATCGTGGCAGGTGGTGATGTTGAGCCCTGGAACCCGGGTGGTCTGCTCCTTGAGGAGAAGAGGCACCACCCCCATGATGGCCATCACCCAAATGACCAGGCAAGTGAAGTTAGCTCTGCCCAGAGTGCGCCAGGACAGGGACTGGATGGGGTACACGACTGCCAGGAACCGGTCAATGCTTATGACAGTCATGAGCATGATGGAGGCGTACATGTTACAATAAAACGCTGCAGTGGCGAAGCGACACATCCCAGACCCAAACTGCCAATCACTGCCGGAAAAGTAGTAGCTGATTTTCAGGGGGAGCACGGACACGAACAGCACGTCAGCCATGGCCAGGTGCAGCATGTATACCACAGCCGGCTTTTTGACCTTCATCTTCAAGACAAACACTGCGATGGCCAGGATGTTCAGAGGAAGGCTGACGACAAACACAAAGGTGTAAACCGAGGGGATGAAGAGCCTCAGCCAGGGGCTGGTCAGATACCCTGAGGCATCTTCAGAGATGAAGGGAGCAAGTGGTGCAGGAGGAGAGTGGCTTTTATTTAAGTAGATTGCCCTGCCCTCTGGCAAGGTGCTTTCATTTTTCTCCTCCTCATCCCCCAGGGGAATCAGTTCAAATGTATTTTCACCGGGATTCCTAAGAAAAAATGAGCGGGGGTTCACAGTGGCATCTGTCATCTCAGATTCTGAAAAAGAGAACATTGGGAAAGTGAGTGAGATAAAGAAGCAAAGGAGGCAAGCAGAGGGTATATTTGTGTGCTTTTTGTAGTTTTCCCCCCCGGGAAGCAGATGGTTAGGTTCAGGTCATGCACAAATGGACTACAGACTTCGTTAGTGAATATGCTCCTATTTTAGAGTATGGTGCAACATTCTGCTTGGATACAAGCTAACTCCCAGTACTCTGCTTCTCTGGAGGACAAAGGTGGACACTCAACCAGATCTACCTTGCAGTCCTCACTTGGCATGAAAGATCAAACGGTGCTTTCCTTAACATTTTATGTATTATATTTTATGTGGTTGGAGAGAGCAGGCATGCCACAGGCGGAGGGGTAGCTGTTTCTCTCCTTCTCCCATACAGACCCAGAGGATTGAACTCTGGTGGTCAGTGCCCTTATCAACTGAGCCATTTTGCCAGTCCTCAAACAGTGCTCTCTTCCCTGTTCTATACCTCTCCATCTATACATACAGCGTACCTCTAGCTTCTATTAACTCTCTTTCCTTCCACAGCTAGTTTGAGCCATCCTGAGAAACCCACCTCTCCCAAAGGGTGAATCCACATAGAAAGAGGAGAGAAGTTCCTACATGCCATAGAATAGGGGTCATTCAGAATAGGACCCAGGGCTCCCAACTTGACGACCAAGGTCCACATGGCAGTAGTTTTCCTCTATCTTCAGTTTGCTTACAAAATTAGATGTCCTAAATGCCATTTCTATCTAGGTCTAGAGGCCTTCTGGTTACTTCATACAGCCAGGAGGCACCTGTCACCCAGCCATCACCTTGCCTCCTTGTCCAGCAGGTCAGTAAGCAGCAGATGTGCTTGGCCACTTACGCCAGGCCATGACATTATTCTAGAATGCTATATGCCTCAAGGTGCACACCTGGACAACCAGGCTCTTTGAAGTATCAACCCGATGTCAAAATAAAAGCTCAGCTATATACACTTCTTTAACCCAGTCATCCATCAAAATTAGTCACTTGAAAAGCGATGGCACCATTCAGACAACCAGCTTTCCCTTGTAAAGAGCTTTGAAAAAATTCTACATCTGTTGGGTGTTGGGGAGCTGAGATGGCCAAACAAGAACCACAGAGGATGCCCGGGGGTGCTGGTGGCAAAGGCTGGATATACCTCTCAGAGATGTTGCAGGAGTTAAACCTTAAAACTGGACAAGTGTAGTACATTTTCAGATTTTTTGTTTTCTTTAGTGGAACCTGCAGACATATTTTTCTTTCAGCTACCAGCTCACAAAAAAATGACATGGAGACTTATTATTAATTATAAAAGACTGGCCTATCGCTTAGGCTTGTTCCACTAGCTCTTATAACTTAAATCAACCCGTTTCTATTCATCAATGTGTTACCAGTGGTTTTTACCTCTCCTCCCGCATGTCTTGCTCCCTCAACGTTTGGCTGGCAACTCCTCTTTTCTTCTTCCCAGAGCTCTCTGCCTGCCTAACCTCTTCCTGCCTAGCTAATCATGGCCAGTCAGGTTTTTATTAAACCAAACACAGTGACACATCTTCACACAGTGTAAAGAAACATTCTACAACAAGAACCTTCTTGAAAACACACACTTTCAGAGAGGCACAATGTAAAGCAGTGGTGAGTTCTGCTTCTGCACAGCTATGTAGGGTCCTGCAGAGACAATCCTCTAAGAATAAGACTGCAGGATAATATGATAGTCTACATAAGTGACCCAAAAAACTCTACCAGGGAACTCCTACAGCTGATAAACACCTTCAGCAAAGTGGTAGGATACAAGATTAACTCAAAAAAAAATCTGTAGCCCTACTATATACGGATGACACATTGGTGGAGAAAGAAATCAGAGAAACATCACCCTTTACAATTGCCACAAACAACATAAAATACCTTGGGGTAAAACTAACCAAAAAAGTGAAAGACCTGTACCAATTAAAGAAGATACCAGAAAATGGAAAGATCTCCCATGCTCTTGGATAGGTAGGATCAACATAGTAAAAATGGCAATCTTGCCAAAAGCAATCTACAGATTCAATGCAATCCCTATCAAAATCCCAATACAATTCTTCACTGACCTTGAAAGAACAATTCTCAACTTTACATAGAGAAACAAAAAGACCCAGAATAGCCAAAACAGCCCTGTACAATAGAGGAACTTCTGGAGGCATCACCATCCCTGACTTCAAGCTCTATTACAGAGCTATAGTCCTGAAAATAGCTTGGTATTGGCACAAAAATAGACAGGTAGACCAATGGAATAGAGTTGAAACCCCTGATATTAAGCCACACACCTACGAACACCTGATTTTTGACAAACAATCCAAATATATACTCTGGAACAAAGAGAACATCTTCAACAAATGGTGCTGGCATA